ACACACACACACACACACACACACACACACACACACACACACACACAAATGCGGATATGTAAATACACTCACCTGTCTGGGGATCTACAGAGAAGTACTGTTGGCCCTGCACCAGTGTGTACACTAGCTTGGCGCTGTTGCCATAAGTTGGGTCATCAGCATCTGTCGCTGTCACCTGGATTATAGATGTGCCTGCAGGGGAGGAGAGGAGAGGAGGGGGGGGAGAGAGAGGAGTAAAGGAAAAGGAAAGAAAGGAAGCAAGGAGAGAGAGTCAAAACATGGTAGAGCTGGAGCTAAGTGGACAGAACGCATATGAAGAAAGCTTTATATCGAGACAACCTCCACTCTCCTCTCTCACTCCTTCTTTTTCAATCTCTTTCCGACGGCAGTGTGACAAATACTTTATCCCCCCCCACCTCCCTTCGCTGCCTCCCTCCTCCACCCTGCCCCCCCCACCCCCCCTCGATTCCCACTGTCTCACTTCATTTCTCTTCATCTCCGTCTCCAATTCCCTTTAGCTCCCCGTCTCAATCGGACCGTCTGTCTCTTCCACGGCCTTCCTTCTCCCGCTCACTGCCTTAAATCGTCTTTCTATGGCTCATGGAGTGTCAGTTTGGCGAGGGGGGGTATTGGAAAGAAATATATACTTGATACAGTAAACACATTTTATGTATGCATATGTCTATATTATAGTGCAAATATTTTTCCCAGTGGGACTGGAGCCAGACGAGATAGGGAAGGAAGAATGGATTTGTGGGAGCAGCTGCTACTTTATTTCTGATCAAAGCCATGACAGGATCACTATGGGGAAGATAGGTGGGAGTGTGTGTGTGTGTGTGCGTGTGTGTGTGTGTGTGTGTGTGTGTTTGAGAGAGAGACTTCTTTGTGCCACAGTGGAAAAGTGACTAAATTAAAAGATAATTCCGGTTTTGGGTCTCAACCATCTGCAAAGTACATTTGCTGGTAAAACTTTCACAATAACACTTGAGTGAGATTGTGAATGCAGGACTTTGACTGGAGTATTCTTCTAGTTTTACAGACCTGAGTACTTCTTCCACCACAGTAAACCCTGTTGGTTATAATAACTTACTGGATTGTCTGAGATCTGCAACAACAACGCAATAAAACCCGAGAAGGCAAGAAACACAAGCAGTCATGATGTAGCACTCCCAGTTTAGACATCAAATCGTCTAAACCGCTTTATTTGCAGGCGAGCGCACCAGCAGCATAAGGTTGGTATTAAACCGTAAACCCTGATTTCTTTGTTTTCAGATGTCTGGCCATTATTTCAAATCCATGCTAAGTTTTCATTTCTTTCTCCATTTCTTGCCAGCTAGAAAAAAAACAAATACCATTAAAACACGATCCTTCACCAAACCAGCTTCACTCAGACTACAAAGTGTTTGCTATTGAATCACATTGTTATTTTATTCCTCTACTATAGATATTGTGGAGAAGTGCAGAGGGGGGGGGGGGCAGAAGCAGATAAGTAGACAGAAATGTTTCTTTTGACAGCAGTTAAGAAAAACTAATCAGACTTAGGGATCAAACGGTGTGACTCTGAAGGTTGATGCAACAAGTGCAAGGCGGAGGCAAGGCTATTGGTATGCAGCCCGCCAGCCGTGCTGTACAGCCACAGACACACTCGGCGGGGATCAAACAATCGCACTGACATGCATCCCTCTGGAGCGCGTGTTAAGACGTCTGTCCTCTCGGGGAAAAAAAGGAATAGGAGTCCTTCGCTGGTTTGTTTACATACATATAAGGTTAAACTTCAAATGTGAGTTATTCTCCTAGAATGCAGATACACATCTGGCAAGATGGTTATACCCAGTCGGGTGAAACCGACACAAAACACTTTGCAGGCACAAATTTCAAGCTGGGGCGGGGGGGACTGGCTCGGTTCCAGCTTGCACATCGCATCAGTGTCTCACCGCCGCCCCCCCCCCCATCCTTAAATATCTCATGTATCACAGGTCTATAGTCTGCAAAGTGCCTTGGTAAACATTGAATCGTGGAGTAAATATTGAATCCGTGATTGACTGAACAACTCAATCTGAAGACTGAGCCGCCACGAGGAGCAGACACTCGCAAGGCAGCCGATAGGATTACTAAATAGTGCTCGTCTGCATCCCCCTCCTTCCTCCTCCCCGGGCCTCTGCCCCAGCAGGCTGCTGGCAGAGTCATTATTCTAATCTGAATTAAACAATTGGGTGCGGGTGTGGCCCTCGATGTCTACAAACCACCTGAAGCAGACGACCTCGGGTCACATTCGCTGAACTTTGCTAAAGTAACCATTTTAGAGGGTGAATTATTTATTTTTTTATAAAAGCTACCAGCATCTTTTCTGGCAAATTCAAAAGTTTTCCTGAAAGCAATTCTCCCTGCTGTAAAAAAGAAAAGAAAAAAAGGGCAAGAGTGCTCCTCAAAGTAGAAGCCATTTTCAACGGGCAGAGCGGAATTTAAATGGAGATTAGAGTACTTTTTCTTCATGTAAACTGTTTCCTACAGGCACTCTGCAGTCATGCTCTGAATTACAATCGCAGGCAGTTATTGTCACTCCAACATCTCACTGCAAAAAAAAGAAACTACCTCTGTCCCTACCTCTTATTTCATTCCTATTCCAAGCACTGCTGTCACACTGCACATGATCTCCCCTCAGTCACGGAAATATACTCAGGTCACTGTGGCTGTGACATGCTCACTATCACCGCTATTCAGGGGGAAATTGAATGAAAATTGACTTCTTTCAAAGTGGAAGATAATTTTATAATCCTCTGTAATTTCTTATTAAATTGGGGTTAAAAAAAAGGGCCATTTCTCGTGTTTGTGTGCAACGGCTCCTCTGCTTTCGGAGAATGCCTCCACTCTGTTCTCATGAATTTAGTTGATATACTGTATTATGTTTTTTTCGGGGGGGGGGGGATAAACACGGACACTGCCATACATCAATGCCAACAGGAAACAGCGCGGTGTTTAAGCATGCATTTCTAAACTGTACCCTCAGATGTGCTGTAGATTTATCCAGGATAGACTTTTGATGGATTTGAAGGTGTTAGCCCCAGAAGCCCACTTACCTATTATTAATTTTTTTTTCCTCCATGATTGTCGTCGTGGCTGAATTTCTTCATTCTTAAAGATTCTGCCACAGTAACAGCATTTCGCAGTGCTCTGAGGGCTCTATGTTTTTCTGCAACGGGCTGCCAGTGCAGGTGGTGGGTGTGAGCACCTAATTCGTGGTTCGCGTTGCGATGTGTAATGGAGGCTGAAACGGTATGAATACGGAACTGGTGGGCAGAATAGATTACTCGTAGGTGGGTTTCCAGTTTTGCCCAATCGCGTCAGCTCCTCATCCCGGTTAAAAAGCGCCCGACAGCTTCCTAATGAGCCGAGAGGAGACTCTGGAAGAGAGCAGATCCCGAAGCAGCGACGCGGTACACACGACTCGAATATGAATACAAGCATCCCTAATAGAAAGATTATGTAGTACAATGCAAGTTTCTATTTCTACAGCTCCTACGTTTTTATGCTCAAATGATTAAATATGTTGTTTTCAGTTAGTTAGAACATTTAAATGCGCACAATCAAGCCACAACTGCATACTGAGATTTAAAAAAGAAGCCATTTGCACTATAACTTGGGAGCTCCCCATAATAATATTAATAACAACATTATTATTATCATAACCCAAACTGTTCAGATTGTGCATAATTACAAGCTCCACATCGTTAGAATTAGAGAGTGCAAATGCACTGTATCATGACTAAAGGTATTTAATCAACAAAAGGGAAAATACCTCGCAGACCCAACCAGCAGCTGTGGTGACAGTGTTATTAAAAATCACTCATTAATCTAGCCTGCATTGCATTTGAGTTCTATTTGCATCCGAGTTTGATTTGGGGCGTTTTGTAGATGTCAGTGTGTGCGTGTGTGCGTGTGCGCATCACTCCAGCCATGAAATCTTCTCTGTCTGGTCCGAGCAGGCAGGAAACAGAGATGCGATTTCATGCCGAAAGAGCAATAAAATTGCGCAGCGCCGGCCGACCCGCCTGCTCCCGACAGAAAAAAGAGCATTTGAGTGCTCAAATAAAACTCCACCATGACGTCAGATGTGTCATTTGCATGTGCTTTTCACGATGAACACGATCCACACTTCGTACAAAAAGTACGAGACCGGGGGACGGTTACATTGAGGTGAAGCGCGTGGCCTACATTTCTAGAAACTGTAGCAGCGCAGATGCCCTTCACTTTGTGCCGCTTCTAGCTTGTCACTGCACTGAGGGCCCTTTAGAAGCTATATCGAGGTGTTACAATCTGAAAAGGGCAGATTGCTACGTGGACATAAAGCTGTGAGGAAAACTATACAGAGGGGAATGTTTCACTTCCCTCCGTCTTGCACCCCCACCTGCCAGTTTGCCAGATCTCATACATTAGTAAATGTTTGCACAGTTGCTCTCAGTGCCTTTGACTTTGCAGAAGTCTTCGGAGCCTAAAGGGAAACGCGGAGAAGATCAAATAGGCCTCTTATAAACACATCATATGGACACGCGTCGCCGCGTCGTTCATTCATTACACCTTGAGCAGGTTAAACTGTTTTCATTTAATTATATTTCTGAATATTAAGTGCTCTAATTTGGGGAAAACTGCTGGAGGCATGCCGTGTTGCTTGTTTTGAATACAATATCAGTTCGCCTCAATGAAATTAAACTGTCAAGACTGAGCTGAAGTGTGCTGAATGAAGACCGGCGGAAATGTCAGCACATTTCAATTTACTGACGGATTCTCACCTTGTGAAGAACTTCACCTTGACTATAAGCCACAGCGCTGTTGATGAAAACGTGCTCTCTTCAGTCCGTACGTGCTTGTGATAAATCCCCACGGAATCATTCAATGTTTGTTTACGTGGATGATCATATCCTTCTACTTATGCCTATTTCCTGCATTAAAACCACTGACAACAAATATTCATGACTAACTAAGTTAACAAGTCTTTCAGTAGAAGTTCAAACATGTCTCCAGACTTATAATTTAATCAAATTTATAACGCTACGCAGAATCGTTGCCGCGTAGTTGGTTAAACCAACAGTAAATCCAAAAAAAAGCTGATTTGTTCCCCTGCCATGCCCGAAGATAAAGATATAATAGAAGAGTTTTATGGCTCGTAGCTAGAGACCAGACCAGCAGCGCGTCATCGCCGCTGACACTGCCGCTAAAATTTGAGGCATGTAAGATATGTGAATTTTCACCGTCAGTGCAGTAAATTGCTAAATGACGCTGGTGACAGTTACGTTACTGCCGATGGGTGAGTTAGCTAAGCTAGCTCGAGTGGGAGGCTGCTCAACCTATAGATCAAACCGATGGCCATGTCAAGTCATCGCGATAACGCTATTGTGAATTATTTAGGCCATGACGATTGTGTAGTGAAAATGAGATATTGTGACAGCCCTAGTAGGATCACATCTCTCATAGTAAAGAGCTGATTGCAAAAATACTTCTTTTTTCAGGGACTTTAAAGAACTGATCCTGTAAATAGGTATTTGTAATGTAGATTTAAAAAGAAGCATTTGAATAATTCAGACCTTCTCGTGTTTTAGATCTATTTTGTGACACATGGGAGCACTTTCGCTGTGAACGCAGCGTTAAAAACCAATAACTTTGGAGAAGAGTCCATCAAAATGCAGGAATCATTTCCATCTGCGGCAGTAAGCTCTGCATTTAGTATTCAGACTCAATACTGAGTTGTAAATAAACTCTCCCTCGCTCAACTTTGTATTCCGATAACTATCCATGTATTGAATCTACTAAATTGCAGCAGGTTTTCTACCCATTTGATGAAGGCTGAACAGGCTGTGAATAAAAAGGCATTAGACTGTGAATGGAATCCTAGCAGGTAGTAATGCTGCATCAGTGCCGTGTTGCATAACAGCTGTATAGCCGCAGCTGTCTAAACCTCATACTTACATTGTATTTCAAATATTACTTCATGTCCAGTCACAGTGTTTAACATAATAACTGTTTATATTACAGTTCTTTTAACAGAGGTATAAAACGTTTCCAACGCTGAGTCAATTATTGCCGTCGTTTAGCAGTCAATAATTGATATTTTGCACTTTTCACATTCTTCTCAGCGTGAGGGCAGTTTTTTGTGTGCAGGTTTTACAGACTGCTTGTTCAAAGCTGTAGGATAGGAATAAGAGAAATGGGATGGAACTAATAAAGCGCCCTGTCTAGCCATGGTCAAGGAGGACATCCGTCATTCGGGAGCTTGACAGTAGTGGTACTATATTCTGATTAAACAGCAAACCAATAAAAGGCCGACAGCCTTACTTTATGTACAGAATGGGACTTCAAAAAACGGTCAATCGAGGTAAGTTCTCATCCCGGCCATTAAGATGATTTTTTCTGTAAGGTTTCTGCTCTCATTACTCAATCGCAGAAAGGAGAGAGGACGGAGAGCGATGAGATAAAGAAATGTACGAGAAGGACAACTTTTGATCCGTCAGCCGAATGAGCAATCTTTTCAAATTCAGGACTGTAATTACGTTACCTCGTGTTCAGCTTTGCGCAAGGTTACCTGGTCAAACTCTAATAACGGGGCCCTCGGTGTTGTCTTCTGGTTCGAAAGATTAAGCGTAATCACCTTTCTATCTTGAATGAAAAATGTAACTACTCACTGCTGTCTGGGTGGCAGATGGTGTTGCGACAGCAATTTATTCATGTAACGCAACAAATTGTGTTTCTGTAGACGAGTGAGCGAGTCACATCGCAGCAGAAAGTTCAGATGATCGTATTAGAGGACAGCTTCGGGCAGCTTTCCTTGTAAACAAAATCAGTTTACGTACAAGAATTCAATTCAGGACAGAGGAATTAGAAAACGATCTGAAACTGTAACATGTGTTCTCCTCTATGGAGCCCCAAAGTGGTCAATATTAATGAGTAAATAAGACTTATGAAGTATGTATAATAATATGCAGGGATGATATATTGTTTTAGGCCAACAGGAAGTTAGCATTGCACTGGTTCCCTTCACGGAGAACCGATCTACTGGAAACACATCATTCAGCCTGTTGTTTTAGACGCCTCAAAGCTTCATGATGGTAATGCTCTGAAGAGAAGTTTGTTAAAGACGCGTGTCACAGAGGAGACCATAATTAGCAAAAAATGATCAAAAAAGGTTCCACACATTTACACGTATCAACTCGAAGGAGCCAATTCCGTGAAAAGAGTCCGTCTGCACATCACTACTGGTGAGTCAGCTGGGGGCATATTTTAATTGGCTGAAAGGTGAGCGAGGCAATCCACTGCCATGAAAAGTGGCATTATGAAAGAAAAGTGCCATTGGAATAAAATGCCATGATGAAACAAAAACAGACTTAAAAAAAAAAAAAAAAAACTTTTCTAAACATAAAAAAAAATAATTCATTTTTAATTATACACGATATTAGTTTTCACAGCAATTACTTGAGTTTTAAATGAAAGTTAAATTCTGTGTTATTTATTTTTTCTATATTTATTTGTTCTTTCGATTAATTACAACCTAATGTCTTGTTTATTTATTCAACAACAAATACTTTGAGCTCCATACTCTCCTCCCCACACTGCCCTCCCAACTTCCAGTACCTATATTTGCCATCTCAGGCACGATGGCGCTGTAGGGGCCATCGTCAAAGATCGGCGGGTTGTCGTTGATGTCCTGCACCCGGATTATGAACTGCGACGAGGGCTCCAGGGCGCGGTCCGTCTGCCTGTCGGTGGCCGTGGCGATGAGACGGTACTCGTCCTTCTCCTCCCGGTCCAGTGGCTTGGTGACGTGGATGTTGCCGGTCTTCTCGTCTATCACGAAGACCGAGCCGGCCCCCTCGCCTCGCAGGACGTATTTGGTGCGTCCATCGTTCCTGTCCATGTCGGTGTGGAGCTAGGTGAGCGGGGACGGAGAGAAGGGGTGAAGAGAGGATATGTAAACAAAAGCAAAGACCAATAAAAGGAAAAACAGGGGGAAACAGGAAGTGGAAAGATGTGAGAGGTAAGGGACACAAAGGGTGGGAGAGAAAGATGGGAATAAACACCAGTTAAAAATGAAGTTTGTTTTTTCGAGACAGGCATTGAAGACAAAACAAGCAGATTATCCTCAGCATGCCTCCAGGATATAATGAATTTAAACAGAGGCAGACAAGAAATAGGCTCCCTCTCTCTCTCTCTCTCTCTTTCTCTCTCTCTCTCTCACACACACTTCCCTCCCACTGTGCTGTGTCTCCTCTCTCCATTCCTGCAGTACGAGCAGTTATGAACCAACTCCTTGATCACCAATGATATCCAGAACACATACTCTCCCGCTCGCTCTTAAAGCCTCTATTCACTTCCCAGGCAGCTGTGGACGGTAAGAGCTTACTAGTCCGCGCACATGCAGTGCCCCGGCCATTTAATGAAAGCACCAAATCAAAGGAATAATGAACAGCGGGCCAATCAATTATTCCCTGACTAATAGGTGTGTATGAGGGATAGTAGAGGGGTGCATGGGAGTGGGACATGCCGTATCGATCACAGCCCTGTGTTGAGCTTTATTGGATCAGCGCCTGGCGGGATGGCAGAGCAGCGGAGCGACCAGCAGCCTCTCATGCAGGGAGAGGTAATATCGGGGGAAGGCTCCACACTGTCCTCCGTCCCCGACGAGAGAGACACGCCAGCGGGATGCGCCCAGCACATCAAGATTCAATCTCATTACCCCGCACCTACGTGGATCGAATAGCAACTGTGACCGGGGGAAAAAAAAGGAAGAGAGTGCTAAATTAGCCGTCGCTCGCAAGAAAGTGTGACATTGTGACTTTAGACGGGAGGGGGGGGGAGTGCAGGAGATGGATGGGTGGGTTAGCTCAGGCGAGCATTGTTGCATGGCAACAGCTAAGCACATCTGCTAAAACGAAATGAGAATGGATACTGTGAATCGAAATTTTCATTTACTTTGAGGATTGCCATTTTTCAGGGGGCGGGGGGGGGGGGGAGATAGCACGGATACGCCGGCTTCCCAGGGGGTAAACGATAAGCACGGATGTTGACGAAGGTTGTTTATAGCGAAGAAAGCAATCAGGAGTTCAGACTGTCGGGAAGTCGGAAAAAAAGTGTGTGAACAATTTGGCACAAAGTCAAAAGTTAAACAAGGCTTCACCTTCAAAGTGTCCCCACATTTAAATAGCAATGCAGAGTGGGGAATCTGAAAGGCCGACATGTGTGAGAGCAGTATGCACTTAGGAAACTAGGAAAAGACCTAATGTTGTTCAAAGGTTGAGTCTTTAACTTTAACCGAGGGGTTAGCTTTGACTAGCTTTAGCATGTTTATGCTAGCTCGGTTGCTGAAGGAAGCCCAAGGAACCGTTGAGGCCATAGCTAAAGTGACCATGCGTTAAAGTGATACGTCAACTGAAATCTTTGACTGACAATATCAAACACTCTCCCCTGTGAGCTTCAAAATTCGCTGTGGAAGCTTTACAGTTTGTCGGGGCCAGCGGCATCAAATAGTGACGAAAAGACTCAAAACGTCCACAGAAACATCTTAAACCACTCCTGCCAAAAGCAAGTCTCCGCTTTCCAGCAGTTATATTTTCACCAAAATGTAGCTAAAGAACACTGTTAAAGAACAACTCTGCTGAGCTCGTGAGCATTGTTCAGACAGTAGCGTGTGAGCTCTGCTGAGGAGACATTGTATTTAACCATTCTGGTAAAGCAGACTGAGCACACAGCCATAGTGGACCGAATTATGATGCAGAGGTGCTTTGAACATTTTCCCTTGACATTTTTACATTGTATTTTTGTCCAGGGTGCAGACTCCAGGAGACAGGTTTTGAGCAGCGAATCATTTCTAACTTTTCTCAATATAGATTCGTGATGGCAACAGCAGCATCTCAGTTTATTTTTGCACTTTTTGCCGATTTGCAATGCCTGCCAGTTCAAACACTCTTTGTCATTATGTTTTTTTTCTTTTTCCCAGCAGACATTTTGACTTGTGATAGCAGGAAAAGCACATGTCTTACGAATAACAATGACGATGACTCATTCCTTTGCATGTCAAAATGCATTTGAATGAAAAAGGCCGGTCCAGCAGCTGTCCCCTGCATGTCTGCTGCATACTCTATAGGTTCTGGACATTAAAGTCAGGGTTGGTGATCTTCTTCAAAACCGTTTTTTTGATATCTTTGTTGATATTCTCATTACATCCTGACAACAATCGATGAATCAGATGACAAAACGAAAGAAAGAAATGTCGGTATCTGTGGCTGTCGCAGGACTGCAACAAGCCCGTCCAATCATTTCATTCCGCCCGAATGAAATGATTGGACGGGCTACCCTCCTGTCTACCTACCTGCCTGTCTACCTGCGTGTGTTCTGCCCTCGATCTTATTGCTCGTCACCTAGCTAGTTCAACAGCTGTGCATACTAACAATAGCTATGTTTGTTGTTTACACTCATTTCGATATGTTTATTGTCATCATGATAATTTGGGAAGAGTGGCTTTGGGGGGAGGCCTGAAGGGACGGGCTGTCAGTGTTGCTGACTTGGCGACTTTCTCATTAGATTTAGCGACTTTTGGATCTAGTGCTGATAGCTACTTTCTTTGAAAAGGAGTTTGCTACACTGAGCTGGGTTTTCCGGTTGGAATTTGTTTTTAATCTGGCGTATTCTTGCTAGTTACTGAAGATTACCAACCCTAGTAAGTAAACTTCTCTTTTTTACCTGCTGTTAGTTTGAGCACCTGCCAGAACTGTGCCATGGCTTATACATAAGGCATATGTATGGCACAATTAAGACCTGCCCTGTAAATTTAAATCCAGTCTATCTAGATTCTATCAAAGACAGACTGGTGCACCATTCATAGTTAAATCAGTAAAGTAGACAAATGGCCTCCACATGGTAGCTCTGGTACAATATAAAAACCTGGCAAAAGCAGTGGTGCGAAGTTTCGGGCCAAATGGTGTATGCCTCAATTTTACTATATTTCAAAATGGCACGAGGAAATGGTGAACAATCAGTGCAGGGCGAGAAAAACGGTGTGAGCTTGAACGCCTGAAAGTACCGCACAGACGATAATGGGCCAATAGTGTCTTGGCAACATGCAGGTAAGCTATTAAGTCATGTTATACCATCATAATCATGTTGGCCTGCTTTGTTTGTTTGTTTGTTGCCACCTGTGTAGGTTTACAATGTTTTGTTACTGAATCTAATTGTCTGTCGTTGCAGCCAGGGTCACACGAGTTCTCTAAAAACGACTTTATTTGAACCTATGCTGAGTTTAGAGTCGCCCTCATCCTCCATCTTCTGTGGGGAGCAACTGGGGCCAATTGGCCAAAACACCCGGCCGGTCAGGACCACCATGAGAGCCCGGTTCCCCCACTCTTCTTAACGAAGTGCCATTAACAATCAAAGTCTTAACGGCCCTGCAGCTTAACGAGGGGACTTAACGAGCTTCTTAATGAAGCCCCGGCCATCATTACCACAGTGAGCGGTGGCGGCGCTGATTGAAAGCACAGCTCGGAGTCATTCTGGAGCAGGGGAGCCCAGCCGAAGGAAACCAAATCCATTTAAGGCTGACCTCTCACCCTTATCTGTTCCTCCTCGATTAATAGGAAAGTATAATAAGGACCACGTATCCAGATTTGATGGCTGTGGATGCTGTGTAGCCACAGAGGTGGCACGGCATTCGGAATATCTTTCAGCAACCTGTCAGTGTGCGAGGATACCCAAACAATATTACACAGTAACAACTACTAGATGTCGCCATATTTCACTTCCGCTTAACTAGAATAATATTGCACCTCATAACTCCCGCGTTTCATATCCCGCTGATATGCCATCAAATATATCAAGAGCCAAACAATATGAAGCCACTGGCCACGAAAAGCCAAATTTACCGATGTGTCACCTCTGCCTGGAGAATGATTTCAGCATGATAAGCTGCCATTTCCATTTCCCCTGGCGCCAGTTGTGTATGTTACCCCCAGCCTCCCCAGACTCCTAAATCTCTTCAATTACTTATATTATCATAAGGTAATATGCTTATATTCATATACTCAATTTCACATTTTTGCAATAACCATAAATCATGAAGCGAGGAGGAAAAGTACTCTCTGCCAACCTCTAAATCATTTAAATAACTAATACCCCATATACACAATTTCACATTTCTGCTGCACGATAAATCACAAAAACAGCAGGAAAATGTGTTTTTTTTCCCACAGCCGTGCATTAGCCTAATGAATGTGGATGTCTTCCCCCACAAATCCAGCAAGTGTGTGTGTGTGTGTGTGTGTGTGTGTGTGTGTGGTCGCTGTGTTTGTGTGAGGCTGAAAAAGGGAGGCGACTTTACAGTAAAAAATTACAAACGTGTAAACGCTCACGTGAAACGCCTATCGGGGTGCAGCGCCACCGCCGGGCCCTGCGATTGGCAGCTGGGCTCAGTTCCCCGAACGCGTCAGGGAGAGTCTGCAAGGGCACGCAGGCAGGTACGAGAATATCCCCCAATCTCCTCTGGAAAGGTGGAGGGGAAGCTACTCATGTGGCGACTTCAAGAGAACCGCAGGCCGATAGGACAACCGCAAGCCCCACCGGACGGGCGAATTCCACAAGAAGGCGGGGCGGTGGTACCGAGCCAGCTCTTTCATATCAGCCAGGAAGTGTCGAGCAGGGCGGAGGGGGAGAGGGTCAGCCAATCGATTTGGAGCAGGCCCAACGATTCAGAGAGGTGTCTGAAGAAAACGGGGCCGATCAGGGGAAATGGCAGCAAAAATTTAATTTGGGACAGGGCCCATAAGAGTTCAGAGAGCCCGTTTGAAATGAAACCGAGCCTCGTGGCCGGCCTACCCACCACTGAGATATCATTAGTTTTGCTTGAGGGTATGAGTAGGTGTTTGTGTGTGTGTGTGTGTGTGTGTTTAAAGAAAGAGGTGTAATGACTCTGAGTCTCCCTCTGCCCTGGCTGGACCTCCACTTGGCACAGTCATTGCACAAGGAGTGGACAAGGAACCAGGGCGTGACTAAGAATCTGTCTCTGTGTGTGTGTGTGTGTGTGTGTGTGTAGGTGTGTGTGTGTGCGCGCGTGCCTGTGAGTGCGAGCAGCGCCTAACCTGGAGAGAGAAGAAAGAGTTGAGAGCAGGCCAGAGAGTGCGGGGCGGTTAATAGAGCACAGCGCAAAGCCGAGGCCAACATCTACACGCCGACTAGTAATTAAAGTCAACAACTCTCTGGGCCGGCTGTGATCATCTCTGCCATCATCAGATGTCCTCGCTCACGCTCTCTCTCTCTCTCCCATCTGGAGAAGCAATGGATCCCCATCTGGGGCTCAGGAGAGAGAGAGACACACACACAACACACATATCCGAACACAAGCGAGTGTGTGGACACAGGTATGATAGGCCCTTAAATTCAAGGGTGGGATTAACAGCATCAGTGCAGTTGGTATTTAACAGGTGAGGGACTCTTTGAAAATGACTGGGGTTGTGAAAGAGACTGAGGCTTTATGTATCCATATTTTCTTTTCTTTGTAACAAAAACACAGCTTAACCTTCATTTCATATATTATTTGTGCTATGACTGTGTGCTCAAGGTTTCTTGTGGTTGCAGCGATTCACAATTTCTTTTTGAAAACCTGTTTTATTGAATATTTTAAACCGTCATTGACTGCTGAGTGCTCATTAGTCTTAACCGGCCAGTAGAGGCAACTGCTTCATAAGCAAGCGAGGCCTTTCCAGCAGTCGGCTAGGGCTGAAAACAAGCTTTACCTTGTCTGTCGTGGGCCACATTTTAGCCTCTGTCGTGGTTTAAAAGCAGACTTCCATCGAACGGTTTGGTCTCATTTTGAACTGGAGAATCCGGAGATTAATTCCACTAAAGTTAGGCACAATGAAAAACATCCCTGTTGTTGTAATCTTTCCCGCCGTCTTGAATGTAAGGGAGCCGGGAGGGACAACCGAGTGAGATTTAACTCTTACATAGAGACGTACCTGGCATTTCTGGTACAAGCTTTGTTGGCTTGACGTTTCGCCTCGCTGTATTTGTGTTCTTTCCGCAATTTGTCCGCCACTTTTGTAGCTTCCTCTTGGAATGCGTGTTTGCACTTGTGTCTGCACTCGCATTGCCCGGAGGCTGACACCCAGAAAACGTAAGAAAATAAGAACATACAGGCAGAGGGCAGGTTCTCTGCAGGTACTGACACCGCCACACACTTCTAGTGGGTCATAAGTGATGATTGAGAGGGAATACTTTTGTATCTGTCTCAGTCCATGTAATGCTTTTTAGGAAAATCCTTCACAGCATACCTTTAATTGAATGATACACTCATTACTTACTTATCATTGGATATGCTAACAATCAATTGAATTGATTCATTGGAACCAATTCAACGCTGTAGTTCAATTATTCCTGTAATTGTTACCAAATTATGTGGTTATTTCCAGGAAATGATTATTCAGAAATTAAAAACCCATAAAATAATGCGTTACCAAATTAGCCTTTGCTACCCGTATTTGGGATTTAATATCTGTCAATGCGCTTCAGTGACCACCAACTCTCTGAAGAGGCAAATGATTTCACTGTAATTGCATGTGGGTACGAGCACTGATCTTTGTCAATTGGACTGTTTTGGCGATGAGGCTCATTTGCATCGAAAGGGGACGATTTTGCACCGAACGCATGCATATTACCTCATTCAAAGACGTGCAAATACCACAGAAACGCAGAGGAGCTATTTGCTTGGCTGCGCAGTTAGAGGTGCATTTCGCGCCTTAGCAGGTGATTTTGAGATGTGCACGGTTTCTTTGTGTCATATTTGTGCAGGTTTAGCGGCCTGCAAAAGCCGCGCAATCCTTTGGTGAATTCCCCCCTCACTGTGTCTGCTTCAACTTTCACCAACTGTACAGTCCCTGACAAAAGTCTTGTCGCTTGGGTACAAGTTGATCTTAAGTGCCCCTCAAATATATTTGTAATCAATTTTTTTTTACAAGAAATGGCTAATTTCAGTCCCAACAGCTTTTGAAATAATGTTTTGGTGCCAAACGAAACTGCTGAAAAGCATTCTAACGTTCACAGCTTGGTAAAGCCCACTGAGTCAGTTTTTGCAAAGACAAAAGTCTTGTCGCCTTGTCATATGATGCACCCAATCCTAGATTACAGCCTCACCTGTGATCAATAATTGATCAATCAATTAGTGGGTGTGTATAAAAAGAACCCCAGCACACCAGACCTTCACATCAACTGCAACTTGACCTCTGACAACATGCCTAAGATTCACCCTGAGACCAAAGCGCTGATTATCAAGAGGCTGAAGACCAGATCCACTGCTGAGGTGGCTGACACCTTCAATGTGTCTCAGCGTCAAGTACAAAGAATAAGAAAAAGATTTGAAGAGACTGGAGATGTTTTTGACAAGCCCAGGTCCGGCAGACCCCGCAAGACAACTGCTCAGGAGGACCGTTTGTTGGCTCGAAAATCCAAGGCCAGCCCCTTTTCCACTGCAGCAGAGCTCCACCAGGCCTGGTCACCTCAAGTCCCCGTGTCAACCAGGACAGTTTGTAGAATTCTGTCTCAAAATGGCCTCCATGGTCGAATCAGTGCCCAGAAACCAGCACTAAACAAAAGGCAATTAAAAAAACGTGTGGCATTTGCCAAGGCCCACAGCCTGCTAAAAGGATGGACGCTGGAAAAGTGGCAGAAGGTGGATTTCTCAGATGAATCTTCGGTTGAATTACATCACAGCCGCCGCAAATATTGCAGGAGACCTACTGGAGCCCGCATGGATCCGAGATTAACCCAGAAAACAGTTAAGTTTGGTGGCGGAAAAATCATGGTCTGGAGTTACATCCAGTATGGGGGTGTGCGAGAGATTTGCAGGGTGGAAGGCAATATCAATAGCCTAAAATATCAAGAAGTATTAGCTACCTCTTACATTCCCAACCATAAAAGGGGTCAAATTTTGTAGCAGGATGGTGCTCCATCGCATACTTCCATCTCTACATCAAAGTTCCTCAAGGCGAAGAAGATCAAGGTGCTCCAGGACTGGCCAGCCCAGTCACCAGACATGAACATCATTGAGCATGTCTGGGGTAGAATGAAAGAGGAAGCATGGAAGACGAAACCAAAGAATCTTGATGAACTCTGGGAGGCATGCAAGACTGCTTTCTTTGCTATTCCTGATGACTTCATCAATAAATTGTATGAATCATTGTCGAACCGCATGGATGCAGTCCTTCAAGCTCATGGAAGTCATACAAGATATTAAATATGGATCTCACAGCACCACTACTTAATTCACTGATGTTATGCAACATATTTTTGTATTTGAAGTAAATTATTTGTTCAATTTTCACATTACTCTCTGTAGGCGACAAAACTTTTGTCTTGCCAAAATCTGACCTTTCTGTGTTCATTAAATGATCAATCTTTCTTCAGTGAAGATAATTTGGGAGGGTTTTAGCTTTCATATGAGCCATTTCTAAAACCAATGGATTAATTAAAAGTCAGGTTATAAGCTGTTGTTTCTACAAAATGGATAAGTGACAAGACTTTTGTCAGGGACTGTACTTGTCGTAGTCGCGCACACAGTTTCCCAGTGCAATGAGGGATTTATTACCAACATAACCAGTTGGCTTATTTACATCATAAGCTTTATTTACACACTTGTAGTATCATATTATCATAACAGATAGAAATGATGGCCAAACTATGAGAATAAGAACCAAGTTCTCCTTCGCCTAAAATTCTTTCACCACAGTTCCAAATTGTCATGATGTGAAAACCCTCCCTTACACAAACCATTATAACCACATAAAACATAACCATAAAAAGCATGCAAATAGTGTTTCTCACAGGTGTGACACACGCATGCAAATGCGCTCGCTCTACTTGGACTGCTCGCCTCTCCTCTCTCCTCTCTAATCAATGCAGACACGCATAACAAAAACGCCTTCCAATTATGCAGAAGCACTCGATTGTAAGCCCCGCCACAGAAACACAAGCAGAAACCAGCCAGCCTCTGAGGAGCACTTGTGACTTCAGAAGAGGGACGTTTGTACTGTGACAAGTTTTAAATCCCGTCTGAACTTTCAATCAAACCCATTCTGGCAGCGAATGTGTGTCTGTCTGTGTGTGTGTGTGTGTTGGGGGGGGGGGGTTCCCTTTTGTTCTGCGCTCACAGTAAAATGTCACAGTCTCCTGTCGCTCCCTGTCTGCTTGTCTTACAGCAAGAGGCTGTTTGAATATATGTCGCGAGGAGCAGCAAGCTAATTGTTTAGCATTGATCCGCCATTGATCCAGCATTGAAGTTTTGGTTAGCGCCGATGATTGCCTCTTTAATTCAGTTGCGGTGTGGACATGTGTCCCTGTTCCCTCGTTTGATCTAATTCAGTCTGTCTCTGGAGGGCGCTCTGTGTGGCCTTCACTTCAACACACACCCCACACACAGACTGCAAAGTCCTTCTCTGTCACACACACACACACACACACACACACACACACACACACACACACAC